AAAAGCAATCTTTGCTATAACTAAATCTTTGTTATGCACCTGTGGGATTTCATCAACAGGAATATAACAAATAAAGTCACCAGGATTACCCCAGAAACCTGAACTTATTATTTCCTTGCTAACTCAAGCACATGTTTTACTGATGACTAATTAATCATCCTTTTATCCTGCCGCTCCCCCATCCATCCAAAATACAACCAGAGAGAGGAGGAACTTGGGTGGTGATACATGCAGGTGAAATAAGATGACGTAACACAACAGCTATGGAGAATGGGAACACAATTTCTCCAAATGTAATTTTGGATCAGCCTGGAATTCAGCTCCTCATGTCTTATACTACCTTGTCTGCTTCATGGTCTCTCTAGGACCTTCCTCACTGCCAAATATTTAGTCACTCCCTGGATCCGCATATTGCATTTTGCCATTGGCAAACACTTTACTTTGGACAGGAGCTATTATTGACTCCCTGCTGTCAATTCCTGTTCCAGGCAGCCAAGAATAACCGAAGCTGAGTTGCAGATTTTGAGGAAAGCAAGCAAAGATCACTGTGTTTGCCTCAAATGACACCTCAGAACCTCAGCAAACTTTTAGATAGGTAAACTTCAACTCCCAGAATTCCTCAGCCATGGGGATTCTGGGGATTCACATTTCTTAAAAAAACATAGCCTTAAAAAGGAAATTTCCACAAATATCCACTTTCCTAAACTTTCTGTCCCCCATAAGGTTTTGGACTTCAGTTTCCAGAACTTTTATCCAGCATAATCGAACACTGGCTGCTCCTGGGAGAAGAAAATCAAACTTTCCAGAAGGCATTCAGGACTTTTCAGAACATTCATAGCATCCAAATATGACAGCAAAAGTTGAATCTTCCCGCTTATAGTTCATTATAATTCCTGATCAGGCAGGAGGTTTGTTGACTTCAACTCACAGCCACTATGACTGGCTGAAGAATTCTGGGCGTTGAAGTCCACAAGTGGCCAAGGTTGGACAACTGAGGTTAAAGAATTCCTACTGGTGGGATCTAGGAGGAGAGACTGTCCTTGTCAGAAAGTGCCAAAAGGTGACCACCTGATCCTGGGCCATTGCACCCGTCATAAATACAAACCAGTTGCTAAGTGCCTGAATTTTGATCTCCTCTCCATGGGGAGGCTGAAATGATCGTAAGTGTGAAAAATAGTCCTAAGCCACTTTTTTCTGTGCCCTTCTAATTTTGAGTTGTCACTAAATGAATGGCTGTAAGTTGAGGACTACCTGTTATGGAACGGAAGCATCAAATCATGATTCAAATCCATACCAGGCCCTGAAAATCAACCTGTTGAACAAAGCGCTCTCTCTCTCTCTCCCTCCCTCTTTCTCTGTCTCTCTCCCTCCCTCCCTCCTTCTCTTTCTTTCTTTCTTTCTCTTTCTCTCTGTCTGTCTCTCTTTTTCTTTCTCTTTCTCTCTCTCCCTCTTTTTTCTTTCTTTCTTTCTTTCTTTCTCTTTCTCTTTTTCTCTCTCTCCCTCTTTTTTCTTTCTTTC